TGGGGGATTTGATAGAAGCCTTCAACTACCTGAAGAGGGGTTCCAAAGAGAATGGAGCTAGGCTGTTCTCAGTAGTGGCAGATGACAGAACAAGAAGCAATGGTCTCAAGTTGCAGTGGGGGAAGTCTAGGTTGGATATTAGGATCACTATTTCACTAGGAGGGTGCTGAAGCACTGGAATGTTACCTAGGAAGGTGGTGGAATCTCCATCCTTAGAGGTTTTTAAGGCCCGGCTTGACCAAGCCTTGGCTGGGATGATTTAGTTGGTGTTGGTCCTGCTTTGAGCAGGGGATTGGACTAGATGGTCTCCTGAGGTCTCTTCTATGTAATCTTCTATGCTTCAATGATTCCAATTAAATACTAATTCAACCTACACTCTTTTCTCACACCATTTCTCTTTCATGGGTGTCATTAGGGCAGAATCTCTTTCCAGAAGTCAGAAATGAAACTTCATATGTACTGTGTATAAAAATTATGATTCTTTTTTCTCCATGTCCTCTGTATTGAATTATAAGTAGACATGGCAGAATTAAAAATGTATTGGTAAATGTTGGTAAATATTAATTTCACCATAGACACGCTACCCAACAAAAAATATTTCCATTGATAATAATTAAAGATACAGCTAGGCAAAATAAGAAAAATGGTACTTGAGAACTTAGTAGAGTTTCGATTTAAGGCTCTTCACTTTGTATATTTTGACATGACCTTGACAATTTGTATTTAAATGGTTATAAAATGTATTTTATTGAATCCCAATGTCATTAAGTATGTATTCTCTGTCCCCCCATTGTATGATCCCCCACCCCAATAATTTCCCACAATTGTGAAAATTTAAATAGATAAAATGCAAGGATAAAATGTTTAGAACTCATAACCTTTTGCAATTGTGAAAATTTAAATTGAAATATTTAAAAGTTGTTTAATAATTTATATTTTTTTAATTTTAAAGATAAATTAAAAATAAAAATGTTTAAAAATTAAACTTGATATTTTCTGGTGAAGTTATAAAACATAAACATGGAATTCTGCCAAGTTGAATTATAAGACTTCTGCTTCTCATAATTGAGGGCATAATTTGAAAGCAGGGAGATAAATTCTCCGCCGATATAAACTGACAGTTTCATAGAAAAAGAAAATTTACAGTAGCAGAGAATTTGACCCAAAGGGGTTTTTCTAGCTGCAAATGAGGCTGAATCATTTTGAAGAGCAAATAAGTTTGGGAAAATTGCAAGCCACTCTAGGACATAGCATGAACATAATAGGCATAATGAATCTGAATAAATGTTTAATTGAGAATAATGTGTCATTAGTACTTTCTCCTTATATCTGAATGACCTTAGAGAAGACAGACAATCCTTTGCAACAGTTCTAGAATCCAGAATCTTTTCTGCAGAAGAATAAGTACATATATTGTCCTCTTTCATTCTCTTCTACCCTCACCATGGCTTTTACCTTGCATTTCTCTCCACACAGCAGGAAATGACCAACCAAAGCACTGTGACCGAGTTCCTTCTCCAGGGATTCTCTGATGTTCGGGAGCTGCAGATTTTGCACTTTGTGCTGTTCCTGGTGATTTACCTGGCAGCCCTAATGGGCAATCTTCTCATCATCACAGCCGTAGCCCTTGACCACCACCTTCACACCCCCATGTACTTCTTCCTGGGCAACTTGTCCTTCCTAGACATCTGCTATATCTCCGTCACCGTCCCCAAGTCCATGGTGAGCTCCTTAAACAACACCAGGCTCATTTCTTTCTCTGGCTGTGTTGCCCAAGTCTATTTGGGTATCCACTTTGCCTCTGCAGAAATGGCCCTTCTCACAGCAATGGCGTATGACCGGTACGTTGCAATCTGCCATCCTTTGCGTTACAGGGTCATCATGACTAGAGGGGCATGTGCACAGATGGCAGCTGGTTCCTGGATCAGCAGCTGTATCTATTCAGTGCTCCACACTGCTAATACCTTTCGATTACCTTTCTGTGGGTCCAATGTTATTGATCAGTTTTTCTGCGATATCCCACAGTTACTGAAACTCTCTTGCTCTGACACAAGCATGAATGAAATTGTGGTTATTCTATGTAGTGCTTTTTGGGGGTTAATTTTCTTCCTTTCAATACTGGTGTCCTACATTCACATCTTTTCCACTGTGCTGAGAATCCCCTCTGCACAGGGCAGGTATAAAGCCTTCTCC